GATTCAATTTTTGTCATTCAAGTGGAGAAATTAATTAGGGAGGAGAAGAGATTGCAGAGATAGAATGACAGGGAGAGAGATAGACAGAGAGACAGAACGTGAGAGAGATTGAGAGATTAATACGGAGAGATAGGGAGAGAGATATATATAGAACCAAGAGTTAAAAGAAAATGAATGTCTCATCGTGTTTGATTCATTTTTTTAATATTAGTGGAGGATATTGATTGGGGATTGAAAAAGGTGAAACTAATGGGAGAGAGAGAGAGACAGAACATCAGAGGGAGATAGAGACATGGAGATCATTACAGAGAAAAAAAAAAGAGAAGAGGCATCTACCTAGATCAGGGAGGAAAAAGAAAAAGGAAAAGAAAAGGAAGGAAAAGGAAAAGGAAAATGTTGAGATTTTTCTTGGACTTGGGATTTTTTTTTAAGAATTTGGGAGAATTCATCAAATTGAGCTCCACTTCCAAAACTCAAATAAAAATTAAATAACTCCAATTAACAAACCGTAAAATAAAAGGGCGGCATAATTAAATTATTTAGTCAAATTAAACCCTTTTTCATTTATGAAATTTTCATTAAGCTATTTTAGGCGAATAAACATGAACGTTAATTTTCAAATCGAGCAAAATAGAAGACACGAAAAACGGGACGTGACACGGCGGAGAATCGTATACAAAGAATATAGTACGCATCGGCTGCAAGGGCATCGGCTGAGGACTGCATCGGCTGAGATGGGTCGGACAGAAGATAGCCGATACAGCCGATATAGCCGATTTCGTTGAGATGGCTGTAAAACCGTCTTTGGGATCGATCAACGGACTACACAAGGATTACCGCGATAGAGATAAGCTCACAGATAGGCAATTGTATCTATTAATTAGGATATTTTGAATAATTTCTTTAGAGATATGTTTCGGCAAGAATCTGCCATAAAGATTCGTTTGTATCTTAGAGTTTGTTAGAGATAAGAGTCGTGTCCGGCAAGGACCTATCATGTATCTCGGGTATAAATATGACTGGACCCCATGTAATTTACAACAACAGTTCAATAATACTTTCGGCGCATCACCACCCTTTTTCTACTTTTATTTCGACGAGTTCTTGCTTTTGGGTTGAGCTACATCGATTTCGATCTTCAACAAAAGGTAAACTTGTTATGGCGTCTTGCGTTCTTGGGATTAGTGCTTTCATCTTTATGACACTCTAATCTTGTTTATGTAAATCATCGAGTTATCATATATGTTTTATAATCCTTATTAGTTTCCCAATCTAACCTGCAATCGGCTGATATCTATCATTGGAGAGTGGCCGATCGAGTTAGATTTCGTTATTAATCTAGATTATATAACATATCCACCATATTTTAGAGGTTTCATCATCTTGTCTAGATCTTATATTTATTCTTATACTTAATGCTGCATGATTGAGTTCGATCTATTAAATAATATTCATAACTGCAATATCTAGTTTGTTTTCTGATCACCGATAGAAATAGTATCGGAGTTTCAACCGATCTTACCTGATTTAGCTATTTTATACCCTATATGCTTGCTTGACATGCTAAATCTGCCCTTTATATTAAGATCTTATTGCATTAAAGTATATTAGGCTGGCTATTTAATATATTTTGTCTGTTTTAATATCTTAATATAGAGTGGTATCGGAGTATTAGCCGATACATGTTAGATCTATTTGTTCGGCTATGCTATAAACGTATGTATAATCGTTATCTTAAAGTATCTTTAAATATAAGTGATTTATACTGTCTCGACTTGCTGCTCGATCTATCCCAATCACTTAATTTAAATATATTCCAAGAGAAGGATTATATATCGTTGATATCTACAGCCGATCGAGTAAATATAACTTTATATTGCTTTATTCCTCATCGCCGATCTATTGCCAATAAAATCGGCTTAATGATTGACGATATGTCATCAGCTCCTAGCCGACCGGCTATCGTTTATGGATTTAACCGCGGTTTCTTTATGTTTCTTTCTTGTTGATTGTAGGATCAAATCAACTGGCACGCCTTTGAACCCAAGAGCAAGATTTAGGACTTGTATTGGAGTTAAGCAGATCTCCCAGGTCAGTGTGTGTTTTTCGCATCAACACGCTTTTGGCACGCTCGGTGGGATGCGAGTTGTGACATTTTTCATCATGGTGGACAACAAGCAGACTTCTAAACCACCATCTGACATTGGCCCTGACAACATCATTCCAATAACACTGGATAAGCTAACACCAGAACAGATGTTAGAGTATGAGCAGATGATGAACAACTTGAAGAGTCAGTGCTTACATTCATTCAAGCAAACTCGCTCAGGAACGGTCATCCAAAGGTATAAACTAAAGATGGTTCCCAATGATGATTCGGAATCAGGCACATCTAAAGATGGCAAGGCTAAAGGTGATAAAGCTAATAATGATGAACCCAAGGATGAGGCTGTAATACCCTATATATTAAAAGATATTTAGGTTTTTTTAGTTTGGGTTGACTTGTTAAAATAAAGATGTTAACAGAAATAAATAAAAGAAAAATATCTTTAGAAGTGGGCCAACATGAGAAGGCCCATAAACCCAGCCCATTAGTTCTCCCCTAAAACCTAGAGAGAGGGGAACCGAATCTCACCTCCCCTCATAGTGCCGCCACCCCTCTCCCTGGCCAGCGCCCTTTCCTCCCCTCCTCCTGTGTTCGCATCTCTCCCATCTACAGCAAATTGCTCTCCCTAGATCTCCACCTTCATAGGTTGGATCAAGAAGCGAATTAGAAAACGGAACGAGGAGGAGGAGAGGAGTAGGAGGGGTTAGACCGGAGTCTCCCCTATTGTCTCCTCACAAGTTCTCTAAAGAAACCCTAGGTGAGGCTTATCTCCTTGTTGTATCAGTTGTTCTAGCATGGCTTTAGTGCATTAATTTGTGGTTAGGGAAAGCTAGAGAAGGAGTTTGGGTAGTTGCGGTTCGGTTTATTGTAGTTCTGCATGTGGGCAGATTTGCAGTGCTTCAGTGTTTCGATGTTTCGGGGCTCTAAATGTTATTTTCTGCAAAAGTGTATAACTAGGAAGTTGTAGATAATGTTTGGATATATCTTCTGACCAAAGGGTGTGATTCTATCTCAAATGGTTTAGGAGATATAATTATTTTAGTATGACTGTTGTTTTTGTGTCATAATCTGGATAGTAGTAGATTGAACTGTTTTTGGAGGGGTTAAACAGTGGAATCAGCCAGGCCGCCTATAGACAAAGTTGTAGAGGTTTTTCTTAGCTTTCCATATTGGTAAAGTACACCCTGATTGGGCTGAGTAGAACTCCAGTTATGGTTGTTTCAGTGTGGACTGTCTGAAATTCTGAACAGATTCTGAAGCCTGCTTTCAAGCGCAAATTAGACCATTTAAATGGCAGAATAAAAATATGCTTTCGACACGAAAGTTGTATGTATTGTTCTGTAGATTTTCAAAATGTATACATTTTCAGTCATAGCCTTTTCATATTTCAAGATATAAAGGTTTGAAGCAGCAGTCCTGTGTATAGTCCAAGCGGCGTTCCTTGTTATTGAGTTTTGATGGGATGGGGCAGTAGGTTCACCTTTTTCATAGTTTTATACGCATGTTTGAATATGTTTGCTAAGGTTTTGTTTGTGATTAGGTGGTGGTCCATCAGATCATGCATGATACCAATTCTTTATTGGAGGCAAGTGCATGACGAACTAATTGTGTGATTCATGCATTGTTTACTCTATCTATTTATTTCTAATATATTTCAACGTGATCACGCTTACTCGGCTTCGCCGGCAAATGCTAGGATGTATTCACTATTGTCCGGGATGGAAACTACTATTTCAATTCATGCCTGCCCAGGATGGGAACTACTATCTTCTTTGACTTGGTGTTTGGAAATGTGTTTCCTATCAAAGAAAGAAAGCCTTCTGTTCATGCTTTATTGTCAATGATGTGTATATGTATTTTCTAGATTCATATTGTACTTGCTGAGTATTTTTATACTCACTCTTGTGTTTTATTTAGTTTTAGGTACGCATTGAGACCGGCATGCATGGGCGGGAAGTAGCACCCTTATATACACATCTACTTGCACACTATCAAACTATATTGCTTAGGTCCATAATCACACTTAAATTATATCCTGGTTTGGTCTTGTAATAATCTTTTAGATTTCTAATAGTTTCTTCCCCATAGATTATAAGGATGGATCGTATTATGGGAATGATATTGTTATTAGTTTAACTTATAATTGCCTGTCGTGGATGTCCGTATTTACAGGAGAGACTCTGCCGAAATTTCTAATAATTTTGGAAGTTAGTGGTTTGAGTGTTTTCTGGTGTGGCACTCTAGGTACGTGGTTACCTGGGGTGTTACAGAGGCGCGGCGCGCGGCGCCCGATTTTTCGGCGAGGCGCGGGACGCACGGGCGCCCGATTTAAAGAATTTTCACGTATACTGATTCAAAAACATCTTACCCGTTGCAACACAGGGACATTTTTTCTATTCTAGTATAATGTACAGGCTGGGTGTCCTCGACACAGCTGATTACCCAAAAAAAAAGAATCCTCCGAGAAAGAAAAGATATCTCGGTAACGAAATATCACGCTTTGTAACGAGAAACTATATATTTTCAATGTAAAATAATAATTATTTAACAAGTAACTTCTGAAATGTCTTAAAAACCGTTAAATCAAACTAACGATTTAGATAACCCATAACTGAACACAAAATTATACTCTCTCTATCTATTTTTGATAGTCATATTTCATTCTTGATATACAGACCAAGAATAAATAATTCTACTTATCATCTATTTAAACATGCTACTAGTCATTCCTTGTAAACAAAGGATTCATTAATACGCATTAAATCCGAGAAAGTTATTAAGATGATAGGTTGTTGGATTGAAATATGCCTATCAAAAATAAATTTTTCAGATTTGAAAATATATATGCCTATGAAAAGTAGATAGAGGAAGTATTAATGAATGATATTACCTCCAGTAAACTGAAAAACAAATCGAATTCAATATGAAAACTGAAATAATATTGCAATCCGATGATGCGCCATATCCGTACCTATATATACAAAAAGTAAAACAATAATGTTGCGTTAACCACAAGTGATCGATCAAACACCAGGAGATCTTCACACAGTTGACTATCTTGTGAATGCGTGGCTGAGGATGCTAGCGATTAAGGGATATATTACCGGTTGCCTGCAGGGTGCTCTAGACACACCTGACCACATTCGACTTGACACTGATCAGATCTCATCTGAGCGAGTTGAAATCTGGCAGATTCCTGTAGTCGTACTGCTGCAGGACATCCATAGCATCACTCATGGTAGGCCGCTTTATTGGGTCTTTCATAGAGCACCAGTGCCCCAGGATGATCACACGCTCCATCTGCCTCTTGTCGAACTCGCCCTTCAGCTTGTTGGGATCGGCGACGGCAGCCACGCCGGCGTGGTTCATGTACATATCGTTCCAGATCTGCTCCCTGTCTTTCCTGGTACAAGCGATCTCTAGGAGGACGAGTCCGAAGCTGTAGACGTCGGTGCTGGATATTAATTCAAGCTCGCCGTGTATCTTGTACTCTGGAGCTATGTACTGATCAATTGACCCCATGGCCACTATCAGCAGTTTGCCCTTGGCGTTTTCCGTGATCCTCGCCAGCCCGAAGTCGGCAAGCTTGGCGTTCAAACCTTCGTCCAGGAGTATGTTACTTGGTTTGATGTCTCTATGCAGGAGATGCAGGTATGGCACTCATGATAGAGGTAAACTAGAGCTGAAGTAATGTCTATCACTATCTGAAACCTTCCATGCATAGACAATTTGTCAATAACACATTTCTTAGTTATGTATCACCTTTTCTTTTTTTACTTATTTACCAGCTAAAAGTTTTAACTTAGTACAACAGCTAGCACACCGCAGCTTTTAATTAGTTCGGTTTGGTTTATTTTAGGGATTAAGCTAGATGTGTTTTTGTGCTTAATGTACTCTAGTATGTTTCTTTTTCTGGTTTGGCTATTTGTCAATTGTCTGTTTTTTTTGTTATATATTTTTCAGTGAACAAAAACTGCACAATGAATAGGTTAGACTTGCAAGGTAAGATATCTTTAGTATATATACTTAATACTGCAACTTCTTGTTTCTCTCATTTTTTTTATTTTATACATTATAAAAATGGTACGTACCACTGCTGAAAAACTCGATCAATATTTGTTTAAAATCATGCATTTTTATGCATATATAGATTATATTTGTTTGTTTTATATTGGTAGGATCCATACCAAAGTGTAACCTTTTATTTTAAGCTAGAATTAATATTCCTTATTTGACTTAAAAAAGAGAAGTAAGTTGCTCGATGTTAGTTGCAAAACTGATTGATTGGCAATAAAACTTAAACGACTGAGACTAGTAAATGCTCCCTAAAGATATAGATTGTATACTTCAGTTTTGCTACTTCCTCTCTTTCGTTTTATAAGATGTTCTACATTTTGAATAGATTAATGCATAGATTTATATAAGTGTTCAAATTGTGAATCTAGATAAATGAAAATGCCAAAATGACATATAATATGGACAGAGGGAGTATGTGTTAGTCACCTAAATATTTTTATTTGTTAGTGACTTAAATTTGTACGACACATAGCCTATATATAGTGTATATTTTAAATTTCAAGTTAGAGTACTCTTTTGTTGTATTCCAGAAGAAAATGGTTATGATTGTAATTTGTTTTATGTCGAATTACCGTTGTAAATGTGATTGGCACATAATAGAAAAAATCTGCCACTTGATGAATAAATCAATCCTATATTAATGTGTGTGTGTATAGTACCTCTTTGGCCACTGTAGTGTGCCCTTCTTTCCATATAGGTGGTCGTCGAGATTGCCATTACGTACCAATTCGTAGACAAGGAAGAATGTGATGTTGTGCTTCTGGCGGTACCAACACAAGAAATCACACAAATTCCAGGCATTTATATGGCAGCACCAACCTTCTAGCTTGACTAGGTTCTTGTGCCTTGCTTCACTAATGGTGTTGAGTTCATTATAGAAGTCGTCCTTGTCTCCTTGACTGCTCCAGTTTTCTGCATTTCCTTTACGGCCACTTCTGGTTGCCCCTCTAAGCACCTCATTCTTCCCTTGTAGACTATCCCATATCCACCTCTCCCTATTTCCATCGTAAAGTTGTTTGTGGCAGCAACCAAATCGGCGTACTGGAACTGTCTAGGTCCAGTAGTTTTTTTTTCCGTCGATTTGAAATGCTCCGTCTCCGTATTTCCATCTAAACCGCGAGAGAATGAATCATAGCGCCATGATCGCAAGAGACGACCCAGTCGTAGCTCCAACGATTACTGCCAGCTTGGTGTGATGACCTGTATTTGTCACGATCAAGCATGCATGTACATAATTAATCTCAACTATATGGGCCAATTATTTGTCGTGTGACTGTTTTTTTTTCACATCAAAAATCGATCTTTTTTTTCTAACTAGGAAAGAAGCCCGCGTACATGCGCGGACACCTTATTTACTATGTTTGAAATTTTGTTGTGAATGTTTATGTGCGGGTGAATTTTTATTAAAACTTTCCTTTACTCTATTGTAAACATATTTCTTGTCAATAATTTGTTTGGGTTTGCTCTCAACTATTGTTATGATTTTCTTCTATTCTTCTTGCAGCATATAAATTCTAAACTAAAATGTCTTGAAACCGTGTAGTTTTGAATTTATAACAAAAATATTATATCGCAACAATGGATTTGGTTTCAATGAAACTATATATCATTTGCATTTGCACTGGATATCATATACCGCTTGAAACACATTTCTAGAGTGTTCTACAATAGATGACATGAATTTATAATATAATATAGCAAGTTTACCAAAAATAAATAAATAACATGGTCTCTAACTCCAATATGGAATTGACTTGGTACATTGTTGAGGGTTGTTTCACTGCTAAGATTCCTGGTACAACCCACACGCTTGATACGATTCAATATGATGTTCAATTGATCATGTTTTTTATATTCAATCACTTTTCTATAAAAATAGGCTATATGGGTACACATTATGACGTAAAAAGATGATATCATTTAATTTTTTTTCTAATTTATTAGTGACTTTATATGTTATATATACAATTTAGATTCTATGATTATCTTAAGAAGATCATTTATTTAGAAAGGCATTTATTTATCTACTAAAAAGATAATTTATTTTAGACAAGCATCAATATAATTTGTATAGGTAAATAGCCCTTATATGTATGTTGGAGAAAGTAACTAAATTCGTAGAAAGTTGTGAGATGTCTAACGGTGAGCAATAGGTCCACCAATTTTATTAAATAACTTAAGGTGGGGGTATTTTCACTTTTATTTAGAAATTCTAGTATTTTTCTTTTATTTAGTGAAGGCCCCAAGATGGATGTGGTTCTGGAAAAAAATGCTTCTCTTAGCACTGAAATATAGTCAATATGGATATTGAATTATTGGTTTAATTAAAAATACAATTGCTCAAACTGATCATAAATTTAATATATGATTTAAAAAGTTATGAATATTTGAAGTCTATTATTGTTCTTAAGTGCCAGCTAGAGGAGAAAGTTAAAAAAAATGGAATAGAGCAAGAACCGGTTAAACCTGGTAGGTGGAGGTTGATTTGTGGGGTTATTTTCTTGCCACCACAGATAATTCAGGTTTAATTGTCATGGAGATAAACAAAAAAAGCAAATTAAGGAACGGAGGCATGAGTACGTACATATAGCATAGGGGCAGGTGAAAGGGTGGTTTGAGATATTCTTTTTTCCAAGATATATAGATCTAACGACCTAAAATCCACCTATTTGTTTTTCCAGATTTTCATTCGATTTTTTTCTATTTTATTGGAGTGACACGTGACGATTTATGAGTGTTTGTAGGATACCACATGGCAGCTTATGAGCGTTCTAGGAAGTCTAATGGACTTTTAATATAATAGATAGATAATAGATAATAGATACTCCCTCTGTATCAGAATATATCAACTTAGTATCGGATGGGATATATGCTAGTATCGGAAGGAGTAGATAATAGAAGATAGATAGATAGATAGATATAACTTGCCACTGGAACGAAAATTGAACAACTGAGAAGCCTATTTTTTTATCAAACAAAGAATACTAGCTCCATACTCGCATATATAAAACAGAAGTTTGTCGAAGGTAGATCTATCTACGTACGTCGGCATCAATATGATATTGAAACTTGTACAGAAGTCTAAACCAGCAAATTAAAGAAATATAGAAACTTATACAGAAGCCTAAACCAGCAAATTAAAGAAAAAGAATCATGTCAAACAAAAACCACCTTCAAACATGGTTATGGCGTTATTTATTTGAATTTGAAATTTAGGGGTGACATCAATTGAGTTTTAGCACACAGTTCAGGAAATAAAAATGGATCTTTTGCAGTATACTTATATTAAGGAACTGTCTAGTTTACATGTGACTGAAAATACCCAAAATTTTGGACAATCCATCAGACAACCAAGATTGCATCTCGATTCGTGTGTGAACAGTGAACCTTATTCTCTTCTCCCCGTTTTCACGTCCCCTCCGCACGCATCCGTATGCACAATCCTCAGTGGCTCAGTGTGCTCTCTCGTTGCCAACCTCCTGCCTCCGACCGACCACATCACTCCTAGCCACGTCGGCTAGCTAGTGGCCGTCAACGACGCTAGCGAGGCCCACCAGACCAACCGCCTCCTACTTCCCCTTCTCTCTTTCTCCCGTGTCCGGCGGCGACACCATTGCCTATTGTTGTCAAATTCATCGCTGCTAACTCCTAACCTCACGACCCTTCGTTGTCCCTACAGCCAATAGGGGTAGGAAGAAAAAGCCTAAACCAAAATGGTCGGGATCGAGACTGAGAAATCTTGTCACCAATTCGGTCTCGGGGGTTAAAAGACCAAATTTTGTTTGGTCAATTCAGTTAGTACGCTTGGTTAGCTGAATACACCGAATTTCAGTCCAATAGGTCGACTAAGATCCTAATCCTAACCTATAGCAGTCATCACTCAGCTCTGCATCCCACGCAACCTCTCCCGTCCTGATTCAGCATCGCACTCGCACACCACATCGTCCCACTTTGCATCGCATGCTGCCTTTCCGCGACTCCGCATCGCATGCCTCCTGAGTTGTTCACCACCACCTCTTCTTCCGCGCAGCCACTTCCTCAACTCCTCCTCCTCCTCCTTAGTCCTCTACCAGCATGGAGTCACTATCCTCATTAGCCAACGCCAGCACCGACCACCACCTCCTACTGCTCTACCGCCCGACGCCGCCACCAGCACCACTGGAGTCCCCAGCCCCTAGCCACCTACCACACGCAGTGGCGGACCCAGGATTTGAACCCAGGGTAGGCCTAGCCAAAAAAAAAATCCAAATACAATACAATCGAAATAGTAAGTACTATTATGTTGCAACAGCTCACAATATTGATTTGATAGAGCAACCATCTATGGTGTTTAACATATGTAGAAGTTTGCTTGTGATAAAAAGGACAGTTGTTCAGAAAACGCAGTCTGATGTCATTTGTCTAGAGAATTGACACTCAAAACTCATATATCCCTTCCAAGGACATACACAAGATCGAATAGGAGTAAAAGGCATGTTTTTGACTGTTAAATTCTTCAATTAGTTGTCTTATATCTCCCTTCTAAGGAGATATGACAAAACGTAAGAACACTTAAAAACCTATAAAGCACAAGGATCAGTGTGAAATGTGAAATGCACTTGAACGAGTAGGTAACATGGCTGATGGGTGAAGAATGATATGTGCAGAAAAGGGCAATTTCACAGAAGCTTATGTACAGACGATGATGCAGAGCTCAGGCACCCTCAGAGTGAATAGTGCAGTAACCACCAGATGAAAGGATTTAGCACGCAATGGTGAGTAAAAGCTAATTAATTACCTACACTTGATGAGCTCAGTTGGGCAAGCTAGGAAGGAGACGGCAACACCAGCACCGGCACCGGCGACAACCTACTGCTTGACCGTCAGAGGCTGGCCGGAGCAGGACCTCCATCTGGCCCCTGGCGCGCGTCGGGCAGGACCGCGGGAGCCAGGAGGCCGTCGGGCGCCGGCCGGACGCGCCGACGCGGGATGGAGAGGGCGCGGCCAGGCCCCCCGCGTCGGCGAGGGGCGGAGAGGGCGCGGGCGCGCGGGCGCTGGCGCGGCGCGCGAAGGCAGTGGGAGGCGCGTACGCGGGAGGCGCCGCCGGCCGGAGGCGGGAGGCGCGGCGGTGCGAGTCACGGGAGCGCCGGCCGCCGGAGTCGTGGCTCGCTGGAGCACCATCGCCCGTCGGGAGTGGGAGGCCGGGAGAGTGAGTGGAGAGGGGAGAGAAGAGAGTTAGGGTTTTTTTTCTGTTGGGTCAGGCTTTCTTTGATGGGCCACGAAAAATGAATACCTGGTCTTTTCTGGGCCAAATTCTAGGGTAGTTCTGTGCCTACCTGGACTACCCTCTGGGTCTGCCCCTGACCACACGCTGCCATCCTCCACCCTGATAACTATTCCTCCTACTTAGACCTAGGATCGAAGAGCCGATATGTCATTTATGTATGTGTGTATGTTTTCATATGTATGATTTTTTGGACATGAAATTTGTTGGCAATTGTGTGATTCTCATGGATGTCATGAAATTTCGATCATGGCTGAGACCAAGACTAAATGTTTTGGTCTAACCAAATGCCCACCCCAAGCAGCCAACCCCACCCACCATAGCTTCCATCCTCATGGCTCCAGCAGTGCCCATGCTGCCTCGCGGTCCACCCATTGCCACAGCCCATCGCTGGTCCTGTCGACATCCAAGGCCATCCCTCTAAGTTGTAAGGAACAACCCCCCCCTGATACCCCCAAATTCTAAACTCTATGACCACTACTGTCCCACCATCGCCAGAGGAAGATCTCTTTGTTGCGCTGCCACTGCTGCAGAGTCGCCATCACTGGTGTGTTCCTCCCCTTCTTAGCTTCTCCATCCTTATTCCCTTCCCAAACCAGTGTAAGGTTGAAGGTGACTTCAGTCACCTGAAAACCATAATTCCGTTATAGCAAAGTTACAATCTTTAATGTTGTGCAAAGTAAGATAACTAAAATATCAGATGATTAATAACAAACAAACTTAATAAAGCAGACAAATAAGATTGTGTCAAATTTAATTCTAATTTAAACTAGCTCTAAATAATTTCACAAATTATGCAGCTAGTTTATACTATTTGAGTGTGATATGATAATACTATTATTTGCTCACTCCAGTAATGAAAGAATATGCCATTGTAGAATGTATGTTTTGGGCATATCAAAGTGGAGTAGCTAATGTTGTTAAAACAAAAACTTCTGATAATATTATATGGATTTAACTGTATGTTACTTGTCTGTATGTTAGTTGTCTAAAAATATAAGTGGTTATGTCTTATGAACCTACGGTATTCTTTTGTCCTATTTTTTTCCACAAAATATAACTATCTTTAATTTATATTTTTTTTCAAAGCAACTAAACAGAGGGGTAAAACTAAATGGAAAAATTTATCATTGTTTAAGATGAGAAAGTAATTGGAGAGAAATTTAACGAGAGATGATTGTGTATTCTATGGATGAGAGGAGGAAATGTAGCTATATTTTAGATAAATTTTGAATGGTAAAAGTAACTTTTTTTTTT